TGTGTTCATGTGTGTATGCGTGAGCTCTCTGTGTTCATGTGTGTATGCGTGAGCTCTGTGTTCATGTGTGTATGCGTGAGCTCTCTGTGTTCATGTGTGTATGCGTGATCTCTCTGTGTTCATGTGTGTATGCGTGAGCTCTGTGTTCATGTGTGTATGCGTGAGCTACACATTATAGTACCTTTTGGTTAAGGGTTATCTCAGCATAGATTTCTGAAATAAATTTTGTATAATATGTATAATACATATACATTTAATATGTATTAAATGCATATTCATCAGAAAATATAACTCCTCTGGTGAGATATTGCGCATGCGTTAACACACTAACGTAGGCAGATTGTGTACTGACTGGTAGGGCATATATGCAGTGGGCACCTTACATGCAAGGTATTCGTCCTATTTCTTAAGTGAGGTCTACGGATGGTATGTTATCATATACATCTATGCTAAGATACCTGCTCCTCATTTTAAATGTATAATTTTTGCAAAATATTATTAATCTAATAAGATATTGCTCATGCGTGAGCGTCGTTTCCGTCGTGCAGTACGGCCTAAATAAAAGTACGTAATATAGCGTGCTGAGGGGAGAGGGATGGGAGACTGAAGGAAGACGAAAGGGAAGATAGCTGACGGGCGGTGGAGGAAGGAGGAGGCTGAACGTGCGACAACGAAGACAAGGGAAAGGGCGGAGCTGAAGTATAGTAGTTTTGCACCTAGACTGGTACCCGGTCCCACCTATCGGCTTAGGTACCAGTCGAGTAATCGAGGTGGGAGCGAGTACCAGTTTATTTTGCACCCTACAGGTTAGGGCGCTCTCCTAACTATAAACACAGGTCTACGGATAAGAATTTATTACAGAAACCTATGCTGAGATACCCCCTGACCATACTAAATGCATACTTGCAAGATCTGCTTCCTATTTTTGAGATGAGGTCTACTGATACAATTTTCTCATATAAATCTATGTTAGAATAACCCCTCTTTATTTTAAATTCATAATGTTTGCAAGATATTCTTCTTTTCGGGAGATATTGCGCATGCGCGAGCACCGTTTCAGGCGTGCAGTACGGCCTAAATAAAAGTACGTAATATAGCTTGCTGAGGGAGAGAGGGGTCAGAGAGTTACGGATGGTGGCAGGAAAGACAGTCGAGGGACGGTGGAAGAAGAAGGAGGCTGAGCGCGCGACAAAGAAGACAATGGAAAGGGCGGGTGGGAATGAAGTAGAAGTTTGCACCCTACAAGCTAGGGCGCTCTCCTAATTATAAACACAGGTCTACGGATAAGAATTTATTGCAGAAACCTATGCTGAGATACCCCCTGACCATACTAAATCCATTTTCCTCACAAAATATAGCTCTTCTGGTGAGATATTGCACGTGCGCTAAAGCAGTAACGTAGCCAGGTTATGTACTGATTGGTATATGCAGGGAGAACCTTATACATGCAAGGTCTGTTTCCTATTTTTGAAATGAGGTCTACTGGAAACAAGTTTCTTATATAAATCTGTGATTTGATAACCCCTCTTCATTTTAAATTCGTAATCTTTGCAAAATATTATTCTTCTCTGGAAATATTGCGCATGCGCGAGCACCGTTTCAGTCACCGTTCAAGTCTGAAGTTGTGTTTTGTGACAAACTGCATGCAGTGCCCCTTCCCACACTCAGGATAATACTCAGTAGAATTGAGCCAGAGCGAGAGCGCCATCTGTTGTGGAGTTTGGTTTTGTGATTGACGACTTGCGACACCTGGTGGGAGAATTGGGCACGTGGAATTTATTTAAGACATGATTTCTTACCAAAGTTCCTACTTCAAAATGTGTAAGATCATGGGTTTTACCACACAAAAGCTTATTGAAACTCGATAATAAAGCATCTCATTAATTTATTTGGCTAGTTGTTATATATAACAATTACCACACGCCATTTTTCGTGAAAGCGAATCTATGGCCATATCTTAGCCGACTTGAGCGGCCATGTTACTGATCGAAAGAAAGTATTCACAAAGCGTAACAAATTTCACGGTACGGTTTTGGTTTCCCATCTGAAAGTAAAGAATCTCGGTCAGATTGAGTAAGTTTGGCAACATCTAAAAGAACTTTTTCGTAGAATCGTGGCGTAGGCCTAGGTGCCTGTCAAATTTGGATTCACTGGACTGTCAGTGTCACTGTGTTGTTGACGTTGTAACTGGTGTGCAGTGATATTGGGCTTTGTCGCGTTTGTGGGACGTCTCTGGCATTGGCATTGATTGGGTCTGATACTACATCTTTTTCAGTACTTGGTCACACTCTCAACTAACTAGCTATGTGGTTAAGAAGAATGAATGATTTTATTGTGTTCCAGAATATAGTAATTTATAATTTTATTAAAGCGTAACAGTATTAGCCCGGCTGTGCGACCGATTGTCTATACATGGTCTTCTAACCCTAGCAAGACCGTTTCTTGGAGCTATATCAGTATCACAACTCTCAAAGTAGTTTTTCATTCTGCACTTTGTACATAGTTCAATAGTTGTAAAGTTAGCACCAGCTATTACTTTAGTTAAGCTAAAGTTTAGGCTATTAGATTATTAAAACATTAGGTAAAAATGCCACGTTAATCTACTATTTATAAATTATACTACACATAGCTTGTGGGTATCCTGATTCCTGCCAAACTGCCCGCCTCTTCTGTGATCGGTCTTCGACCTTCTGACTCGCGTGTTTGTCGCGCGACTCAGGGTTTTTTCTGAGGGAAAATTATACAACGGAAGTTATGGCCAGTTTGGGAATAAATGCGCATGATGGATTTAAAGACGTGCCGTAGGCACGCATGCGGACACTGCAGGCGGACGGGGGGAGAGAGGGAGAGGTGGAAGTCCCCCTCTTGCTGGGAAGGGGGTTTTGGGGGTATCCCCCAGCTAAATTTTAAACATGAGAATGTAAAAAATTGTTACAGGAGCATTTTCACAACGGCGATGCTAAATTTGACAACGGCAGTGCGCCACTGTACCTCTCACGTATAAGAAACCCTGCGACTTATGCCCGTGTCATTTGATCGCAGCGTCATGGCAGACAGCGTCGACGCGGAGAACGGAGAAGTGACCTTTGACCCCGAGCCAGAGCAGGAGGATCGTCCAGAGGCAGACGCGTCTGCAGACGACAGTCTCCTGGAGCACGTCGACAATGGCGACGACGCTCACGGCGGTGGCGACGACGTCGGCGATAACGACCAGTCCGTCGATGACCCGGTGAGTGGACGGCTCGCGCGTCACCGCGGCAACAACGACAAGTTCTTTGATTTGAACTGAGAGCATTAAAGGGATACTAGACTCTCGGATTTTACTGCATACAACTGTACTTAGTGTATAACAAATCGTCTATACCCACACGTACTTGCTACCAGATACCTAATTTAATTGTTATAATTAATTATACGTCAACGCTACGAAATTTGAACGGTGCCATTGACACCCGCGACCGTGCTGCCACCCTGAAAAAGTTGCACATTTCCCAAAATATTTTGCACGTTACAGACTGAGGGCTAATCACAAAGGTGCAATTATATTTATACCTAAACATTTTGGTATTTAACCGAACGATGTTCATTTTAGGACAAATTTATCCATAATATAACTGAAACTATATATGTCGTTTATAAGATATGACAATCCTTTTGCTTTTAAATTAATAAATAAGAAACACCCTCGGTCTGTAGCCCTTGGCTGTAAAGTTGCTTTGCGCAACTTTTCAGATCGTGCGCTTTGAGTGGCGCCACCATCGTTGTAATCAAACTGTAGTCGTTAGTTTTAAAACATAAAAAAAAAAATTCTAATGGTGATTGAACCATGAAACTTTTTATGTAGCGTAATTTTAACCTAAATTAACTGAATATAACCCTAGAACCTAGAGTAAATGATCTCTTTAAGAACTGAATTGTTAGTCATGTTGCGTTTGATTATGAAAACTTTACAGAGGATTGGGATTCATGTGTGCGGTGTTCGATAGGTGTCTGATTATGTGTTGCAATAGTCTTGGTTTTCGTAGCATATAAAAATTGAAAACGTTTAAAATTGAATTTGTTTTTTGTCCTATCAACAAATATTTTCACAGATTGGTGGGATTGTCAATGCAATTATCTTCAAGGACAAATTGCATTTCTGCATCTGGAATGCACTTTTATAGTCATTATGTTGTTGCTAAGGTGATAACGCATTAGCTTCAGTTCATATTAGCCCTGTGAGAACGTGCGGTAATATCGAATTTTCACCTGGGGTCACAGGAATTGGAAGCCATCAAAGCGCGTGTGCGAGAGATGGAAGAAGAAGCAGAGAAACTTAAGCAGATGCAAAATGAAGTGGAAAAACAGCTGAATATGAGCCCACCGAGTGCCCTCGGTAAGTGACCACTGGTCAAGGCATTGTGGAATGTTCTATGTTGGTCACTAGCCCATGTGAATATTAATACACGCAGTGTGCTAGTAGTAAGTAAAGTGTCAAGTAGTAAGAGTAAGAGTAAGTAGTAAGTAAGTAGTCAGTAAATGTGAGTCAAGCATGCTCTCAGTCACTTACTACTATCATGTGCTGTATACAGCCTGTAGATGACAATAGGTGATTTGTTTTTTCAGCGAGTCCTGCAGGGCTTTCTCTAGAAGATAAAATTGACGCTGACAACCGTTCTATATATGTTGGAAATGTAAGTATAAAGATTCAGCAAGCATTCTCTACGATCTACGACCATTGCTGCAATGTTCGATATTCATTTTTGTTGTTGTGAGATGTTTGGCATTGCCTTGCTATGGAGGTCACTAGCTACTTTTCCCAGTTGTTTAACAGTTTAAGGTAAACTCTTTCCATTTCTTCATCGATTTTTGCCAGTGAATGTTTGCTAGCTATCACTTGTTAGCTAGCGCATGTTTTTCTTTTTTTGCACAAATATCGTGTTATACGTCAGTTACTTTTAAATGCTTTGCCGCTGACACTAGTTATTTGGTGTTGCTAATTGATTTTCTATTGGTCGGTTTGCGCATTGGGAGTCGCTAAATGTTTTTCTGTTGGTCGGTTTGCGCACATCCTCGTAGGTGGACTACTCTGCCACAGCGGAAGAGTTGGAGGCTCACTTTCACGGGTGCGGTTCTGTCAACCGCGTGACGATCCTGTGTGACAAGTTCACAGGACATCCCAAAGGGTAAGCTTGCGTTTCCATGACGACTCCCAGTCAAGCAGACACCTGTGAGGGGTGACGATGGGTGGGTGGAAGGTTGGTTTATTCATGTATGTTGGTGGGTGGGTGGTAAAGAATGGTAAGGAATGATTCCATAGTCGGCAGCAGATCATCGTAGCTGTGACTACAAATGTACAAATGCGACTCACTGGGCAGTACATCTTACTACCTCTGTTGTTCTCGGACATTCTGGAGTTTGGCTAACGGATTGTCTTTTTATTAACAGCTTTGCCTACATAGAGTTTGCCGACAAAGATTCGGTGACGACGGCGCAGGCACTGGATGAATCGCTCTTCAAAGGCCGACAGATCAAGGTATGCCCTCCGTGTAACGGAATACGTGTCAGCTCCATGTGCTACCGTGAGGAATAGTTAAACGTGTGTGGTGCTGGTCTGTGGAGAGTGGCTTTCCCACTACGTTTTCACGTGAGAACGCTATCGGTGGTTTTGTCAGTAGCGATGTTTACTCGCATGCTACTCTGCCGCGTCGTTGCTGATTCTCCCCACCCACCGTATTATCATGACGAGTCACTATTCGTTTCTTCGTGCACCAGGTGCTACCAAAGCGGACGAATCGTCCCGGAGTGAGCTCGACCAATCGGCCGCCTTTCCGGGGGCGCGGCTCGCGAGGGCGTGGGTGGCGTTACTACGGCAGCGGCGGATATTCACGATCCTCGAGTCGTTCCAGGTACGCTGCGACTTTGCGCTCGTTTGCGCTCTTCACGCCATCCTTAAAAAATTATATGTTTGCTGTCCCCCCGACCAACCCACGAAAATAGCCGCGACCCAAGTTTTTTTTGACATTTTGACTTTTTTTTTTTTTGACATTTTTTATAGTTAAGGCTGAAACACAAAGCATGTGTGGCAAACACGAGGACAGACTTAAAATTACTATTATGCCTCACAAAACAAACATGACCTACCTACCTATCCACTAAAAAAATCATGGGTTGGGGGACAGCAAACATAAATTTTTTAAGGATGGCCTCACGCGTTTTTCGCTTTGCTGCCGTGCGTCACTTGTACGGACATGGCATGGATATTGTCAGATAGTACCGGCACGGCTGCAGTCGGCGTGGCGTGGCGCCACAGTGTCACCTTGAAATCTAACTCCTGCATTCCTACGTCACACACTAGATTGTTACTTCTCTGTTATTGTTAATTAAGATCATCTGTTTGTTATAATGCAATAAATTAATAAGTTCTTTTTAACCAAACAAGAATGTAAACGTACCGTAAACGTTTCGACTTCTGTCAGATGTCTTGATCACTACGATCGTCGGTTAAAAATAACTTATTCATTTAATGTTTCTCTGTTGTGTTTCAGGCCACGGCGAGGAGGGTCCTGGTTTTCTCCATACTAAACCCGTCAGGCATGTGATCGAATCTTCCTGAGCCGGTGGTATGTGCTGCTTTCCTAGGCAGATATAATCCCCGGCCCCCTCACTCAGCGGGCATTTTAGCTAGTGACACGATTGCCCTCCCTCCTCCTCGCGCTTACACGGTTAGTGTCCGCGGCGATTGTTACTGTGTCTATGGTGGTTTTTCTGTATCTAGCAGGCAGGGGCTTGCAGAGTAGAGGAGCTCCGGAAGCGTAGTTATCGAACAAACGTAAGCAAGTGCCCCCTATCCCCTTTCCGAGTGCTCGCGAGGCAGTCGGTAAAGTTGGAATCGGATTGCTTGCGACTTGTTAGTATCATGACCTAATCGACATTCGCGTTGCTTGTTCCGCTGTAAATGTCTTCGCTAAATGCCCGCTTTTCCCTTGTCTGCCATTTACCGATCTTTTTAATAGTCATCCCAGCCTGTCCCGTCCTATCCCGGCTCCCTTGACCCACTCTTCAGCTATTCTGCTGTTCGTAATTAATCTATAGTGCATGGTTATGGTCATTTGTGGCGGGAAATGTTAAGGATTGCATCGTGGCAAAACGCGCGTTCGTGCGCACCATAACTTAGCATTTAACGAGCTTAACGTAATTAATTAACGCATTTAACGAGTGTAATTTTAGCTAGCTGTGAGAGTGCTTGTTTTCAGTAATTGAACGTTGTCACCTCACATCGACTAAGCAATTCTATATCACCAGCACTGCATTCACATTTATAGGTATTTGCTATATGTTGCTGTCACAAGGCACCGGTGTTAGTTGCCGGTTTGTATATAATTATTCGTGTTTATAGTGTGATGGGGAAAGCGGGTGGGGCGGGGGGGGGGGGGGTACTGAATTTGTTAAATGCAAAGTTATGAAGCACACTAGAGGCATTTTGCGGTGTGTCAACTAAATTCCTACGTAGAGCGAGAACGTGGGTATGTATACACACATACACACACGCACGCCCAGCATCTGCGTTTCTCTGCCTAATGTTACACTATTTCGTTGCTTAATTCCTTCAGACTCATGTGGGTCTCGGGGTGGGAGAGGGGAGTCCGGCCGCATGGGGAGGGATGGCAGACTAGTATGGACTAGTATATACTTACTACATTTTATCATCAAGTGCAGAACCGTTTTACAGTAATCACGACGATAGTAGTTGGTGTTTTAGCGACTATAATTTTTTTGGAAAAGCATTGTTGAGTTTTTATGTGAGAGCATGCGACCGTAATCGTAATCATTTAGACAAAATCTGCCCTTTTCCGTGTAAATTTTGATGAGATTTAACTTAAATTTGAACCTGTCGGGTTGGCCTTTCTCACGAATTATGCTATCTTGCAGTCACTCGCCCCAAGCTGTCAGTGAAGGTGTAAATGGTGACACCAAGTTTCGTAGCCACATCGTTAATTTCTTTAGTTGACTGCAGGTGGCGCCATTATAAGGAACCCCGCATGCATTTTTAGTTAGCGGCTATTGGAGGAGTTAACTGGTGTCGGGTACCACGGTGATGTTCCTCTGCGCGGTGGGTCGTCATGACGATGCCTCTCGATCGTGGGATGCATGGCGATGCGGGGGAAGGAGGGGGGGGGGCACTACAGAGGAAGCCCTAGCAGTTACATCAGCGTAGGGCAGGGGTTCTTAACCTGTGGTCCATGGACCCCTTTGGAGTCCGTACATGGGCTTCGGGGGGGACCGTGAACCAGGCGTGTTCATGTGCATTTTTCTGGGGAGGGGTCCGTAGCTTTCGGCACATTCTCAAAGGGGTCCACGACTCAAAAAGGGTTAAGAATACGAACCACTGCTGTCTTGGACCAGTAGAGGTGGGGGCACTACAGAGGAAGAGCCTGCAGTCACGCCGGTGTAGAGGAACCTCATGGGTGGGGGGGGGGTCGCAGCAGCAGGCGAGTGTCAGAGACGACGGATGAATGACGCTGTACGTAGGTAGCAGCTGCGTTAGACAGCTGAGGCGACTGACGTCTCGATTGACGTTGTGCGGCTTTCGCAGATTTCACACTTTATCGCAGCTGGAGTGGTGGCTCCCTCTGTAGTGGTGGCACCCTCTGTGGTGGTGGCTCCCTCTGTAGTGAGGCCCTGTGGTGGCTCCCTCTGTAGTGGTGCCTTCTGTAGTGAGGTCCTGTGGTGGCTCCCTCTATAGTGGTACTCTGTGGTGGCTCCCTCTATAGTGGTACCCTGTGGTGGCTCCCTCTGTAGTGAGGCCCTGTGGTGGCTCCCTCTGTAGTGAGGCCCTGTGGTGGCTCCCTCTGTAGTGAGGCCCTGTGGTGGCTCCCTCTGTAGTGGTGCTTTCTGTAGTGAGGTCCTGTGGTGGCTCCCTCTATAGTGGTACCCTGTGGTGGCTCCCCCTGTAGCGAGGCCCTGTGGTGGCTCCCTCTGTAGTGAGGCCCTGTGGTGGCTCCCTCTGTAGTGAGGCCTCGTGGTGGCTCCCTCTGTAGTGAGGCACTGTGTGGTGTCTTGAGCTAGCAGTGGCACTCCCCCACCTTGTTTTTACAAGTTTCCGCTTACAACGTAGGTATCATTCTTAGATTCGCTTGGCCAGTGTGGGGCAGACAGTGGTTCATAATGGCTCAGAATACTTCATTCCAATCTTCGCAAACGAGTATTGGTTCAGAATATTGTCATCAGCCCTTTCTTTGTTGCTGTCGCCCCTCTTTCTTCTGGCTGCTGTATTCTTTCGTGTTCTTTGCACCTCCGTTAGGTTGAGAACAGTAAATGTTAACACACACGTAGGACTTGATTTCATACTTGGTTTGAAGTTAGGTGGGTGTTATTCAAATCTTTCTTTCTATATTAACATTTTGCCCTTGCTTTTTCAGGCTTGAGTAATTATGGTGGTGAAAAAATGGAAAAAAATGAAAATATATAATAAAAAAATAAAAAAATAAAGGTACAAAAAAATTAAATAAAAAAAACGAATGTAAAAATCAATGTGAAAAAAATATTGTGAAAAAAATGTACTTTTTATTACTGAAATAAAATAATAGTCGTATGTACCAAACCTTCTCAATGTTTATATCAATCGTCGATTAAAAGCCCCCGCACACGGTGCGCGTTCGGCGTGCACCAACGACGCTGAACACAAGTCACGCATGCGCATTGCTTGGGTGCCAGCCCGCACACGGTGCGCATTAGGCGCAGCGCCGTTGGCACGCACCGAATTTGCACCGTGTGCGGGGCCCTTAAGGCTTGACCAGGCATATGTTATATATATGCGTGCTAAACACGTTTCATAAATTGCCAGTGAAATTCTCACCTTTGTGTACCACATTCAAAAAATCGTATTTATTGACAGCATATATCATTGAAACAATACAATGTGCATTAAATGTCCACATCCTACACCACATGTCTGTGTGGGTCTGTGTGTGTGCATGTCTGTGTGTGTCTGTGTGTGCATGTCTGTATGTGTGTTTGTGCATGTGTCTGTGTGTGCGTGCGTGTCTGTTTGTGTGTGTGTGTGTGTGTGTGTGTGTGCGTGCGTGTGTGTGTACGTATGTGTATGTATGTGTACATATGTGTGTGTATGTGTACATATGTGTGTGCCGTGTGTGTATGTGCGTGTACGCATGTGTATGTATGTGTACATATGTGTGTGTGTGTGTCGTGTGTGTATGTGCGTGTGTGTGTGTGCATGTGTGTGTGTGTGTGTGTGTGTGTGTGTGTGTGTGTGTGTGTGTGTGTCTAAAAGCATGACCACCATCACACATCCACACCACATGACAAAACTAACATGTCACGTCACGTACGACTCGGAGCCGATAGACAAGATCTCTGTTAAACTTTGTACAAAGTTAAACTTTATGGACAAAATTGGGAATGTTCGGGTAAACCATGTAAATCATATAAATGCTAGAAATTCATCTTTGCTAAAAACGATTTGTACATATATAGTCTAGACACGCGAATGTATGAAATTGCTATTTGCCTGTAGTTAATAGCATACGCTATGTGTAAGGTTCATAGAAAACAAAAACATAGTTAATCTAATGGCATTTAAAAAATGCTGAGATTACGAATTGTGCTGACCGATTTTTATATAATTAACGATCGTCGAACCAAACTGAATAACCTAAAACACAGCAATACTATCAGCACATATATTAGGAAAAAATACTGGTAACTATCACAGGCATATTTGGTTCATATTTACACACACAACTTTCGGGAAAAACATTGCTAAGTTGCCAAATTCAGGCGGTCAATAAGTAGATGGATTGTAAAATATGTAGTAATTGTGAAATATGTTCTTACATAATTGTACAACAGCAATCAATTCCACACCTATTACCACGGTTATAGACAAACACCTGTGTACAAACGATTGAAAACTTTATTTAAATGAACAAAAGTTTGTCAAGGTAAATTTAAACGAAAAACTAAAATAAAATATAAATCTTCACATGTAAAGTAATTGGAAATTGCTCTAGTACGGAGTGCTACATTTTAATAACAGCATAAATAATGGAAAAATAATAGTAACATCTCGATGCGCTGCCATTAGAGTTCAGTATATCTACACAACATGCTGCTTATTACAACTGCTATTTGCAACTGTTATATACAGCTGTTGTCCGTTTTCATGTTGATAATGAGCCATTGGCAGAGTTCCCAAAGTGATTGTGTACTCTGGTCAATAACCGTGACTATTATACAACACACTGTTCTTATGAATGAAGTAACGAGAAAGTTTGTCATCGATTTCAACTTGAAATTTCTTATATTTTCTTATGTAAATGAACATAAGAACTTATCAGATAAACGTGCCTACAAACGCCACAACACTCATGCTGTGCGTGTGTGCCTTAAAGGAATAATAGGTCCATTGATTATGCAATGTTGACGAATGCTAGAGTAACTGGCACCTTGTGTAGTTAATAAGTACATTAGCTTATAGCCAAACGCGTATTAGTTTGTCCAATATCACTGCTGGTTACAGTACAAACGGGAATTGAAATCGGTTGTTGATTTACGTGCCGTAAATGTCATCCAGGAGTCAAGCGATGACGTAAACATTTGTGCAGCCCGTATGTTTTGGACGCCAGATGAAACGGAGGTGTCAGCGGTGTAACCACGGCCACGGACTAAACATGGAAATAGAGTAAAACACACGTACTAATCACGGACGCACATGGACAGCCCTGACAAAAAGTTCCTTATCACGAGCGTCCGTGTTTACGAAATCACTGATGATAGCATGATAGCATTGCGTACGGCCGAGCATGCGTGCGGAAATGTCCGGTGCACTATAAATCTGTATCACACCCGCTTCGCCGGCAGCGGTTTGAAACTGTAAACAACTGTTTTTTGGACTGCGGATTTCAATTAGACATTTCTTAGTAACCAGCAGTGATATTGGACAAACTAATACGCGTTTGGCTATAAGGTAATGTACTTATTAACTACACAAGGTGCCAGTTACTCTAGCATTTGTCAACATTGCATAATCAATGGACCTATTATTCCTTTAACCTGAACCCTTTCTACAAATGGTGCTTAAATCCACCCTCAGCATCCTCAAAGTGAGTCACATATTAAACAAATTCCCACACTACAAACACTATCGATGTCATCTCGTAGCCAGGGTGTACACTCCAGCTCGCAATTTATGCTGGCTTAAGCCAGTCCCATTCAAACTGCATATGCGTATATATACAAGTGCCGGATTTACGTGGGCACAAAACGTCGGGCAGCAAAATCCTACAACTAGCAGATATGTAACATCGTGACAATCCGACTAGCTAGTAGACGTGTGCACACGCACTCACTCACTTGACTTCTTAATCGTAACATCATCTTCGATTTTCATCTGGAATTTAGCTCGAATTGAGTGTGTAGACCTGCGATAGTTGATATTATAAGGTGTCAACCATTTCTACAATGCAATGCAGAGACAGCAGGGTAGAGCAAAAATCCACGTGTTGTGGGTGTGCATATATATACATACATACATCAATGCATGCATGCACGCACGCACATGCACTCACACATACGCGTTGTATAGTGAGGGCGAGACTAGATAATTGTACTTAAAAATGTTCTGTTTCAATGAACATGATTTTTACAGACAATTTCAAAGCACCTGTATAGATTCAGATAGTAAAAGCTTATTTGCGTAGGTGCAATTAAACGCTGACGCGTTCATTTACTTGATTAGCACGTTGTTTCACGCAGCAGTGGTTGCCATAGGCAACATATCATGCATCTGTCTGTAACAAGCGAGACATACAGCGCCCCCTATGCCTGACAGCGTCGCTCTCGCGCGGCGGGGAACGTGGCGCCCCCTACGTTAGACGTCCGTCTGCTTCGTGCCGTGTCGGTAACGCGACATCTGCTCCTCGTCCTCCTCGTCGCGGTTGCCTAGCAACGAGAAGTGGTCGGAGAGATCCGAGTGACGGCGCTGCGGCGGCGCGTAGTGGCCGGAGGCGCCCTCTGCTGGATCGCCGCGGCCGCCGTGCCGCTCTCCGACGTTGAAGCTCTGAACGAGACGGTGCGAGAAGACGGCGTCGTCGCCAGGTGGCGCTGTCGACTCCGGCGAGTCCACGGCGGCTCCGAGATCTTCGCTGGAGCTGCTTCGCTGGTCGCCGCCGTGGAGGTTGTGCGAGCGCAGGTAGGTAGCTGGCACCTTGCCAACAAGGTAGGACCTGCTGCAAGCAGGGCAAATGTAGTAGTAGTTGGTGTTTTAACGATTTTTTTAAAAATTTTGTAACAGTATGTACAAACATTCTCGTGAGTAAATCAAGGTGGTCTTCAAGAACGATGATTTTTGCAAACTAATGCGTTGCATCCGCAGTGGAAAGATTTAATGATATTTTCGTGAAGAATTAGCGCATCTTGTGTGAGAGACGTCCTGCGACATCTTACCCTATAGTTTTAATTTTATTAATTAATTATTACATGAAACTTACTTGTTCGTGGCAGCGGAGGTCCTCCTTACTGGAACAGGGGGAGGGGTTTTTGAGCTGATTCCTCTCTTCGGTGACCCTCCCCCATGGGGGCTGCTGACGTGTGCTGGATAGCCTGCAGAAGAAAAACCCGCTCGGCTTCAAGACAGACTTTTGCATTTAACGTAGCGTGAGTCACGTTGCATCTGTCACGCACGACTGCTGGTGGTGACGCACAACCGCACATATCTCGCATATCTCACATATATATCTCGCATATCTCACATATATATCTCACATATCTCACATACACATCTCGCATATCTCACATACACATCTCGCATATCTCACATATATATCTCGCATATCTCACACATGTTACACCCAAAGTGAATTATTTTCTCAAGGACATTTCAAGGACATATGTTTTAAGGAAAATCTGTAACAAGTAGTTTTAACTTTTTAGAGCATATATACCTTAGATTCATATATAAAGTAAAATTATTGTTTTACACGGCTGGCCGACAGAGATTAAACAGCCACTATAGCTCGCCGATTATTTTTTAAACCTGCCTCAACACTATTTGCATTTTTTCTCCATGAAAAAGACTTCAGAACATGTATTTGTAGTTGAATTACATGCAATAAAGGTTTAATAATAATATTAATAATAAACAGTTGCCGGTTCTTTACGCTGACCTTTCATCTGCTGTGTCAAGCAGTAACATTAATAGTGAATAAAAGTAATCACTTATTCCTTACTATCCGCGAGAGGGGGAGGAAATACTGAGGGAAGGGAGTGAGAGAGACGGGGTGAGGAAGGAATGCAGACGGAGATGTGCACACGCAGACAACGCACGTACGGCACAAACGGTAGACACCAGGCACGGATGCACATATTAAATTCCTTCTAATATAGTTACTTCTCTCGCCTTCCTCCGCTCACCCTCTCCCTCGCCTCTCTCTCTCTCTCTCTCTCTCTTCTCTCTCTCTGTCTGTCTCCCTCTCGCAATATTTCTCTTCACGCGCGCACGCCCGCACGCACGCACGCACACACACACACACACGCCATTTTTCTCTCTTTCTCGTGCGCTATATATATATATATATTATACTCGCCTCTCGCCGTTTCTTCTTGCGCACTGCCTCACAGTCACACCCCTCTCGCGTTAATCAATTATTCAGACAAATTAATCAGTCGAATAATCCCTTCCCACGGCAATGTCAGCTGCGCAATTTCAATATTTACACCCAAACTCCACGACAGAAGGCGCTGCATGCAGTTTGATACACACCTTCCTTACACCCCTCTCGCGGATAGTTCGCCCGTGACCAGTCAAGCGTTAAAAAACTTTCGCAGCAAAATGACCGTATTTCGGCTCCAACATTTTCACTCCCTGAGGCACAAAACGTGAATTTACGCCTATAATACACGGCCACGCGTGCGTGCGACTATACCAGCGTGTGCGCATCCGTTAGTGGGTGTGTATGTGTGTTTTTGTGACTGTAAAATGCGTATTATAGCCGTAAATCCACATTTTGTGCTTTTGGGAGTGAAAAAGTTCAAGCTGAAATACGGCCATTTGCTCGTGAATGTTTTTCCATGCTTGACTGGTCATGGGCGATACTATCCGCGAGAGGGGAGTAAGGAAGTGACAGAGGGATAGGAATTGTCGCGTCCGCGTAATGTTCATATATGTATCTATGTAAAACCACCTGACTCTACACGAGTGTCTCGTTAGTACATCTAGTTAGAGCTCTAGCCTTTCAATTATGAAACTGGGGTTCGAATCCCCGTTAATTCTTTGCTAAAATATTTTCTAAAACAGTTGCCTGGTTTTTAACGCTGACTCTATCATACTGCTGTGTCCAAGCAAGTAACCAGTTAAACATGAATGAAGAGTAATCACTTATTCCTAGCTACCCGCGAGAGGGGCGAGGAAATACTCGCGTGGGAAGGGAGTGAAGAAAGGAGCGTGAGGGAAAAGGAATGTCAGAAGCGAGATAGGTGGTGGGCGGACACGCGCAGACAAAACGCCACGTTGACGGGCACCAAACGGTAGGAATCAACAGCACCGCCGATGGCACCATAGTTAACAACATTCTTCTAAAATAATAGTTTAAGGCTCTGCTGGCGTCGGCCCTTCCTCCCCCGCGCACTCCTCTCCACTCCGCTCTCTCTCGCTTCTCTCTCGTCTCGTCCTACCTCATCCTGGCTAGCTCCCTCTTCGCAAATATTTGCTCTTCACGGCGCAAGCACCCCGCAGAGGGGGCGCGACCCGCCACCGCACAGACAGCAGGAAGCAGCGCGCGGCCCGCGGAGCGCAGGGACGCCACACACAAATGCGGGACGAACGCCGCCACGGGAGGGGCTGGACTCTATCCCGCCGCGGTGGCCCCCCATATCTCACATATATATCTCGCATATCTCACATACACATCTCGCATATCTCACATACACATCTCGCATATCTCACATATCTCATGCACATATCTCACACATGGTTAACACAAAAGTGAATTATTTTCTCAATGACTTTTCAAGGACATATGTTTTAAGGAAAATCTGTAACAAGTAGTTTTAACTTTTTAGAGCATATATACCTTAGATTCATATATAAAGTAAAATTATTTCTTTTACACGAGTGCCGACAGCAGATTAAACAGCCACTATAGCTCGCCGATTATTTTAACTGCTCAACACTATTGCATTTTTTCTCCATGAAAAAGACTTCAGAACATGTATTTGTAGTTGAATTACATGCAATAAAGGTTTAATAATAATAATAATAATAATAACGCTTGACTGGTTGGCGAACTACTCGGCGAGGGGAGTAACCAGGAAGTGACAGAGGGATAGGCAATTGTCGCGCTCACGTAATGTGACATATGATGTATTATGTAAAACTACCTGGCCTATCCAACGAGTGTCTCGTTAGTATCTAGTTAAGACTCTAGCTTTCAATTATGAAACTGGGCGCGCGAATCCCCGTTAATTCTTATGCTCAAAATATTTTCTAACTTGTGTACTAAGTAACAGATTGCAGACATGTATGCCAACGCAATATTACCGAACGACCACGCATGGCTCCTCACACTGAAATGGACAATTGGTGTGGTTGTGTTGTGTGTGTTGCGTCGGTGCTTTGTAATGATGCTTTTGCCATACAATGGTCTGCCAATACGTTTACTTTACCACAGTTATAGAAATATATTTTAGCAAGATTAACGGGATTCGAACCCAGATTCATAATTGGAAGGCATAGTAGCTCGTAAACTAGGATGTACTAAGAGACATCGTGTAGGGAGTCAGTGGTTTTACAGTAGAGATACATATGATGACATTACGCGGACGGCGACAATTCCTTATCCCTGCTGGTCCTTCTTATCGGCTACTCGCGGATACGTATCGCCATGCCAGTCGAATGGAACAAGAAAAACTTTCACGAGCAAATGGCCGTATGTTTCGAGCCGTGACTTTTTCACTCCGCAAAAAGCACAACATGTGGATTTACGGTATAATACGCATTATTTCATGTCCAAAACACATACACCCCACTTAACGGGAATGCGTCACAGCTGGTATAGTCAGCAGCGGCACGCGTGGCCGTGTATTATAGGCGTAATTCCGTTTTTTGCTCGGGGAGTGAAATGTGGAGACCGACAATTACGGTCATTCTTTGCGCTGCGAAATTTTTAACGCTGGACTGGTCACGGCGGCGAACTATCGGGAGAGGGGGTCTGTAAGGAAGGTGTTTATCAAACTGAATCGCGCGCCTTCTGCTCGTGGATGTGTGGGTGTAATATTTGAAATTGCACCGCCGCTGACATTCCGTTGGGAAGGATTATTCGACTGATTGAATTTCGTATGAATAATTGTTACGCGGAGAGGGTGTGACGTGTGAGGCAGTGCGCAATGAAGAAACGTGCGGGCGTCGTTTAATATAATATATATATATAGCGACACGAGAAAGAGAGGAAATGGCAGTGTGTGTGTCGTGTGTTGCGTGCGTGCTTGCGCGGGTGCGCGGCGGTGAAGGAGAAAATATTCGCGTGAGAGGCGAGACAGACAGACGAGGAGAGGAGAGAGAGAAGCGAGAGGAGGACGGGAGAGGGTGAGCGGAGCGAAGGCGATGGATAATTGATATTAGAAGGAATTTATATTGTGCATCGTGACCATGTGTCTACCGTATTGTGCCGTACGCTGGCGCTTTGTGTCTGCGTGTGCAATCTCGTCTTGCATTCTTCCTCACCCCGTCTCTCTCACTTCCACTACCCCTCGAGTATTTCCCTCCCCTCTCGCGGATAGATAGAGGAATAAGTTGATTACTTTCACATTCCTGTTAATGTTAACTGCTTGACACAGGCAGATGAAAGAGTCAGGCTCGTTAACAGAACCTGGCACTGTGTGTGATTCATTATTATTATTAAACCTTCTTTTAGTTGCATGTATATTCAACTCAAATACATGTTCTCTTAGGAAGTCTTTTCATGGACGAAATGCATAATAGGCATGAGCGGTTAAAATAGGATACGGGCTATAGTGCCTGTTTAATGCTGCTGTGCGGCACTGCGTGTTAAAACAAACTCTAATTTTATTATATATATGAATCTATGGTATATATATGCTCTAAAAAGTCTAAAACTACTTGTTAAGGCAGATTTCCTTAAAAGTAGTTCCTATGAAAAGTATGTGAGAATAATTCCCGTTTGTGTTAACCATGTGTTGAGGTATATATGCGAGATATATATGTGAGATATGCGACGAATGTTGTATCGTGAGACATATGCGCAGATGATGTATTGTGAGATATGCGTACGATATATTGTGAGATATGCGAGTTATGCTTATGTGAGATAGGCGAGATATGTTGCGGTTGTGCGTCCCACCAGCGTCCGTCGGTGCGTGACAAATGCAACGTGACTCACGCTACTACGTTAAATGCAAAAGTCTGCTTGATGCGCGGTTTGTTTCTTCTTCAGGCATATCCAGCAGCACGTCAGCAGCCCATGGAGGGAGGCGTCGATACCCGTCTTGGACTACTCACCTCATCCTGCAGAGCAGGAATCAGGGCCTCATAAAAACCCCTCCCCTGTCTCCGTAGGAGACCTCACGCTGCACGACAGTAAGTTTTCATGTAATAACGTTAAGTTAATAAGATTGAACAGCTATAGGGTAAGTGTCGCCGCGCACGTCTCTCACACAGGTATGCGCGTAATTCTTTCACGCAAAATATCGATTAATCCTCTGAATCCACTGCAGATGCAACGCCATTAGATTTTGCATAGAAAACCAAAAAAGA